AACCAAGAATTTATTATTAATAGTTCACAAAAGAAATGAAAAAGATTTTTCTGTTTTTTTCTTCTTACAACTGAATTTTCTTTTGTTACTATAATTCCAATCATTCAAGAATTATGTTATTACAAGTTTGACAAGACTGACCTAGAATCAGTCAATGTCTAAACTGACCTAAATATATTTCTAAGATTTTATAAGTGTTGGATTTTTGTGGTTGGACATTTTTAAGAGCAACATTTATGGCATATGACTATTATTTATTGAAATTATCATCATGGCAAATTGACTTGTAATGAACGGTTGGAGTACAAATAAGTATAAACTGTAAATAGTGAGAAATGAGAATTCATAAAGTGTTAAAATGGTTGCAGTTTTAGGTTAAAATATGTAGAAAATGTTTGTACAAATAGAATTTTTAACTATTTGTATAATCTTATTTAAAACGTCATCTTGCTTTGTAACATACATCTGCATGTCAAGATGATGGTCAACATTATGAAATGGTTGCCAGAACTCATAATATTGGCTTCATTTAACATGGTGACAGAAAACCTCAGTGATTTTCATTTACTTTTCTTCTCCCTTACAAAAGACCATTTTAAAAATGAAAATTTAGCAATTAACTTCCTTTGTAAGAAGTTGTAAAAGCAGTTTCATCAGTTAAAAGTGAAAATGGCTTCAATTGTAAAAGATGGAGATGTTAATTTCACTTTTCATAAAGATTATGAACTTCAAAAGAGAATGAATTTACAGATGATTTTAATTATTAAATAATGAAAAAGTTAACTGAAAAATGTTAGTTTAGAAATTGAACAAGAGAGATAATGCACTTCATCAGATATTGAATATGATAAAGAAAGGCAGAGAGGGTTGAGAGAGAGGGAAAGAGGTGTAGGAATACAGAAGGCGATTATCTCCCTTTGGTGTAGATAAAGGTCATGTGACGGTTTCTTAGTGATGTCACTTCATACAGTGACAAGAGAGGTCAGTCATTCAGTTTGTTTACAGCAACCAGACCAAACTGTTTTTTTTTTTTTTTTTAGCCTGGGCAAAGGGGCCCAGGTTGAGGCTAACTCTGCCTCCTCCAGTAAATGCTACAGTTTACAAGTCCATATTGCAGTTTCCCTTTGGGAATAGATCTTCCCCAGATATAAAAAGAAACTAAAGTTTGCAGTCCTCAATTAGGGAAAAGCAAAGACTTGTTCCCATTCATGGAATATGGAGAGGGGAGTCAAGAGAGGGAAGGAGAAGGCAAGGAAGAGTCAAGGAGGAGAGGGAGGGAGGGTCGAGAGAGAGAGAGGGTTGAGAGGGAGGGAGGGTCGAGAGAGAGAGGAGAGGGAGGGAGGGTTGAGAGAGAGAGAAATAAAGGCGCAGGGTCGAGACAGAGAGAAAGGGAAAGTAAAAGGGGCAGGGTCGAGAGAGAGAGATAAAGGAGAAAAAGTCAAGATAGAAAGAGGGAAGAGGAGAAATAGAGAACATGATTAAGGAAAAAAAAAAAAAAAAAAAAAAGAAACAATTGGAAAACAGTAAAATTGACTTTAAAAACAGCAGTAATATTATCTCTGTTTTTATTACAAGAAACATTGTCCACCAATATTAATTTTTGACTAATATTTGCTTTCATCTTGCGTTTTTTTTTTCAATTGTTTGTTATCATAGCCAGAGTTAAAGTTGTGATAAAAAGCAACTAAAATTTTAGATTAAAGTAAATGCTGGTCAAAGATTCACAATAATGGTGGGTTGTGAAATTGAGTGAGAAGTAGAGACATTTATTGACATGAATCAGATTCTCATATTTTATCATTTTAGGGTTTGGGTTAAAAAGGTATCTGGCATATTTCTATTTATTTAAAAAAAAAAAAAAATAATCAAAATGTTGCAAACTTTATTGCCTTTTAGCAAAATTTATAGAAATTTGTTTGAATCTACAACAATTTATATTTATTTCTACATAGACAGCCAAAAAAAGGGAGAAGGTCAGAGAAAAGAGATTTAAAGAAAGAAGAAAAAAATCCAAGAGAAAATTTAACTGAGTGCACATGTCCCCGAGACAAATTGAATGTAAAGTAATTTGATTTTCACTTAGACAATTCAAAAGTGTAAGCAAAAAAAAAAAAAAAATCCATTTGTAAAGAAGAAAATTTTCATGATTTACAAAACCCTAATGCACTTGGGCATGGGTGGCAGTATGTGAAGAGACAGGCAATAAACAAAGAAGTGACAATTGTTTGCCAACTTTTAGCAAATAAGCAATGCCAAATGTCTTTATATATACTGAAGAAGCTAACAAATATAACAAGTGCTTGGTTGGTCAAGACACTTGACTCAAGTTTACACAAGTTAGTGCATTGACAAGAGAAATAAAAGTACACATTTCTAATTGATAAAAAAAAAAATAAAGGAAGAAAAAAACATGTCAGACATTTTAAAATTCTGGAACTGAGGGGATGGAATTTGTAATTGATCTATATTGTAAAAGTGCTTCAAAATGCAATGCGGGCAACATCATTCATCACTCTTAATGACAACAAAATCTAAGTTGAATCTATCTCATAAATTAAACATTCTGATTTGTTAATAAGGAAAATTTTATCAAACAGCTACCTTAGATATAGAATGGCTGCCTTTTCTGAGGAAATAAGTGGTTTGTTTTATTCTGAGATGCCCAACAGATTCCCCCGTTACCCAGGTGGAATTCAATCCATCTGGCAATTGCACATAACTGTGGTACAGCTTCAACCAGCTTTGTCATAGACTTCAGGTATCTCTATGCCACTGATCAGTCTATCAGCTCCTTTCTGGTTTGATTTAATCAAAGTGGCATCCACTGACAGACTAGACTCCTTGACCAACTCTGTCTTCTCTTTATCAGCATTTCCATTGCAGGTTTGGTATTCATTTTACTTTACCAGTCAAGCTATCAGAGAAAAAATGGTAAATGCATAAGGAATTGATCTTCAAGAGGAGCACATTGTCCTGCTACTGAAGAGCCAGCCTGCCTTTTGATATGGCATTGAGCTCAGCTAAATTAATGTTAGGATTCATCTACAGGATGAAACCAATAAACATCTTCAGTTACAGACCTACCTGCTTTGAATGATACTCATTGAAGAATATGTCTCAACCCATACATGTACTTCCTGTTCATTCCAGCACAATTTTCATTTATCTTATCCTGGCAACAGTTTCCATGATCATTTTTTTGAAGAGGCATTATTTATGGAGTCATCCCAACTCTTGGTGATCATAACTGCTTCATAACTCCAGTTACCAAATGAAGCTCCTAACATGCCAAAAATAGCATTAGCTTCTCCATACAAAGAGAAAATACTACATTGGTGACATCTAGGACTGTGGCATGTAAAAATTTGGGGTTTTTGATAAACAGTTTTAAGTATGACAATTGCTACCTGACATGTCATGCATACAGATCCTCATTGTCATTAATGTATGTCAATGTAATTCTTCTTACAGGCTCCATTTGTGAATGCACAGCCTTATCATCAGAGCCATGTTGAAAGAAAATTCCAGTTATATTAGACAGCACCACCTTCCTTTGACCCTCAAAGTCTGGAATAAACACAGCAATTTGTATGTGTGCACCTGCAGGTACACCTTAAGATCTATGCACTTATTTGAGTCCCATTGATGCCACTCACAATTTGGCCACACATATGCATCAACAAGTCTCTTAAGCTGTGGTAGCCCATCACTGAGCATACCTTTGCCTTATTATGCCACTGACAGAATCAAAACATTTCCATGTTATGGTCCAAATGTTCTTCAGTTGGTCAAAATTCACAATAAAATTGGGCTCATTTATCAAAATCACCACACTTGCACATGCAGGTAATTCCTTGTGTGGAAGCCATACTGCACCTAACAGTGCTATCCAGTGTTTTGATCTCAACAAATAGATTGAACCCTAACTGCTTTTAGCACTCCATGCACCATGAGGTCAATCTCAACTAAATTCATCCACAACTGGTGGTGTCTGTTTTCTAGGATATACATTTCCTATCATTGATTGACACCATGATATTATAGACAACCCACATAGAAAAGGAAGATTCGGTTTTATATTGATCTTAAATGTTTCTGTTTGATAGCCAGCAGGAGGTCTTCTTGAAGTCTAGGTTTCTAAGTGACATCCACTTTGAAGGGGAATGGAGAAATGAAGAAAAAATGGAGAAAACACGTACATGATTCAGTTACCCTGCTATAAACATACATGGTAGGATGTATCCAGGCAAGCCATCAGACAGAACCAACAGATTTTGCAGCTGTGCCACATGCATGACAATTGGTTCTCCCGGATGCAAGAACTGCACTATGAACTGTTTGTAAGTTACAAAAGAGTCAGTGACAAAAGCTGTGTATAGGGCACCCTTTATGTGGTTAACATCATTTCTCTGCTGTTTGCTTAACTATTGGTAGTGTTGCGTGTAGTTATTTTTTATTGACTTTATTAACATTTTATTTAACATGTAAATTGGTATATGGCATTTCATTAATCTAAATTAATATTATTATTATATAATGATTATTAAAGTTAGGAATTGTGCTTGGGTGGACAAGAAATGTACAATAAAAAAGTATTTCATTAAACTTAAGAGGAATGAATGGATAGACATAAATGGACACAAAGAGTAAACGAAACATGTATAAAACTATTTTATATTAAATAACTCAAGAGGAAAGATGAATAGGCAAAGTGATTTGATAATTCTGTGGGTGACTAAGTTGTTCTAATTTTTTGTTTTCTTTTTTATTATAGATTTAGGATCATTGGAATAAAAAAAGCATAATTTAATGTTTCATTCCAACATCAGGAAGAGCTTCGTCCAAGAAGACATTTTGAACAGGATATATTATTCTTTTGTCTTGAAAACGATAAATCATTTAAATTTATTTTTCCGATTTTCCTTTCTAAAAAGTGGGATGAGTCTAATCTATTAGAAAATAAAATAACTGCAAAGAGGAAAATGGTCTTTTATACTTACTGTATAGGTTTGCCTCGGATCTCTGACATTATAGAACTCTCACCTCCAAGGTATTCATAGCAAAGACTCAGGAAATTATAAATCACAAAAGCTGAAATAGAATAATCCCAGATTAGAAAAGGGGAAAGAGACAATGAAACTTAAAAGATTTATAATAATAACGTAATGATAATAATAATAATAATCAACCCAGCTGTAAAGAGAGTAAGCATTGTTGTTGTTGTCATCAAATATAAAGAAATCTGTTTATTATAATCCCTTTGAGATCAACTGGCTGATAACACTGAATAAAGAATATAAAAAAACAGGAACAACTGTTATAAATTTAAAAAGGAAGTGTTGAAAAAGTTTTGTCATAATCCACACTTTCCAAAAATCTTATTGAATAATCAAATATCAGACATCTTTTACAACCTGTTCTTGTTTAACCAAATAACTTTTCAGCACCCCTTCATACATGATTTTTTTATTATTAAATTTGTTTTAAACAACTTTATACATAGACCTCCACAAAAATGCAATACCTAAGGTATAAAATGAATTTCTAAAAATAAAAAAATCTTTCTTTTAGTTTTAATTTCAAATAGAATAAATTTAATATTTCCAATAAGCAATACTTTGCTCTATTTCAAAAACTAATTTAAATTGACTGGCAAGAATTTTTTTTTTTTTTTTGCTAAAATAGCTGATTAGCACACTTCTTTTTAGTAGTCTTTCATTGCAATGTAACTGGCTTTATTAAAAAAAAATCTTCCAAAAATAAAATATACTTTTCTGAAACTTTATTTGAAGAATATTAGCTGATTTAAAGTATAATTAATTGGATTTGAAACAAATATTATTTACTATAAGTTTGAAAATTTGAAATTTCATAAAATTAAGTCAGTGGGGGTTAACAGATTTAATTTTTACCAAGATCTTCTAAAAAAAAAATATTTCAAAAATAATTTCATTCATTTGTGAATAAGTCCTGAAAGTTTCATTATAATCCGACAATTATTTGATTTTTGCAATGTGTTTTTACTGTAAAAAAGACACTAAAATGTCTATACTAATCTTTCTTTTAGTTTTAATTTCAAATAGAATAAATTTAATATTTCCAATATGCAATACTTTGCTCTATTTCAAAAACTAATTTAAATTGACTGGCAACCACTGATGCAAAAGAAAGATTTTTAACTAAAATTTCAAAAGTTCGAAAAAGGATTAAAAAATATAATAAAATAATAAAAAAAATACTTTGGTCTTTCCTCTTACAAACATTTTGATGATAAAACTTTGTTTTTATGAAGTTTGGAACATTTTTTATAAAGCTATACTCTTTTTTTAGAAAATCTTTGGAGGTACCTAGTTTTAACATATAGAAAGACACATCACTTGAGGTTGTAATGACATCCAAGCAAAGAAACTTATTTTAAGTAGAATGTCTGATTATATCTTAACATTTGTAAAAAGCTGAAACAGATTTATTTCAAACTAATTCAACATGGTTCTTTCATCATAAAATAAATAAAAATAAATAAATAGTTCTTTAAGATTTTAATATTCCCTCCAAAATTAAAAAATTATATGACTTGAAAAATCAGCCCCAGAGATGTCTACATCACTTTGAAGCAAAAAAAGCAAGCAATTATGAATAAAACACTATGTCCTTTGTTCTGTGTATAAGGTGTGGAGTTGATATTCCAAAGCTTTCAATTATAAAATGCAAAAGATAAAACAATAATACATATGCACAAAAATGATAAATATAGCTTTCTGTTTTAACATTTTCCTGATTAGCAAAGAACTCTAAAAATATGATAGACTAAGTATAAATTACTGATAAAAAAAAAATGAACTGATTTTTATGGACATGAATTTGGACCCAAAAGTATAGTTTTAATCTTAATTCGTATTTGAATAGATATGAAATATTTGAATAAATAAATGAATTGAAGTACAAAGAAACAATTGTATGTTGCAGTAATTAACATTTTAACATGTTATCAAAATTTTTTATATTTTCAATGTTTCTTCTAAGTAAAAAGCAAATACATTCAGAAATTGAGTTATAACAAATGTTAAAAGAAAAGAATTTATGTCTTAAATCATAAGTTGTTGATCAATTATTGATTTTAATATTTTCTTAAAGTTCTGAGAAAAGAATTGTCATTATTCTGGGAACTATTTAAGTTAATATTCTTATGTCTGTTTTAATTATGAGGGGAAAGTCAAAAATTATCTGCACTTTTGCCATAACATCTTTAGGTTTGTGATGCTGCTTTTTGTTCATGCATACTTATAGTTGGTACTATTGTGGTCACGTGATCAAAGTTTGAGCCTGATTGCAACAGTTTTCTTACTGCTATTACAGTGTAAACATGGCCACTTCACTAGTAGTGTGCATCAAGGAAGAACAGTGATCCCATTTCTCTATCCGGAAAGTGTGTCATGGGCTGAAATTCATCAATGGCTTTTAACACTGCACTACTAAGTAGAAGTGTGTATGAGTGGATTGAGAAGTTGAAAAGTGGACAAACAAGAGTGATGCATGAAGAAGGAGGAGGATGTCTGTCAACCTTAATCACAGACGAGAAAATGGTACATATATTGATAAAATTTTCAGGATATATTTATGATAAATTATTACACAATTTTCAATTTATTTGAGGGTGTGAGATTTTATTATGCAACTCAAAGGTTGTTAAACATTTTGTAAATATAACAATATTGATATTTATTCTTTAAAGTCAGATTTAGAGAAAAAAATTTCAAAAGAAAAAAAGATATTGTGAAGTTATTGAGTAATAGACATACAATGTTAGAAAAATTGCAAATAAATTTGAAGAGAGATAAGAAAAGAAAACAATCAAAAAAGAAATTGAAAACTTTGCTAAGAAAAAAAATGTCTAAGAATGTCACAAAAAGAATTTTAAGAAAAATTAAAAGAAATAAATGTAAATTGAACAATAAGAAAATATTTGAAGGAGAAAAGTGCAAAATATTCAGAACATTGACATGAAAGCAACTAAACTTCTACCTTGAGATAAACATCATCAGGAGAAAATGTAAGTTGAGTGAACTAGTACATGAAAACTGATTTTCAGTAATCTTCAGTGATGAATATAGAGCTACATAAGATGAACCTGATAGCTGGGCTAGAGGTTGGGTCCTTCATGGAAATAGTCAACCCAAATCAGTTAGAAAACAATAAGATGAAGATTTTAGGTAGTAAATTTACAGGTTTATCTAAAGTCCATTATAGCGTCAAGATAAATTTAGAGAATTATAGTTTAAGTTCTTGGATAAGATACTTTTTGAGTGGCACAGGTTGTGAGTTAGAATTCATGCAAGACAATGTTCCTTCTGTACAGATGATTACTCATCTTGCTGAAAAAAGTTTCAAAAGATAGCAAATCAATCGAAGACCCTCAACTTCTTCAGATATTAATCCACTAAAAAAAACAAAAAACTTGTGGTTCATCATTATAGAGTTGTATACAAATAAAACAATATTAAGCAAAGATCTCTAGAAAACAATAAAAACTGCAAAATTAAAGTTGAAAGAGTAGAAAAGTTAACAAAATCAATGGATAAAAAATTGATGCTTATTGAATGTGAAGGAAGCTGATATTAACATAGAAAATGATTATTTAAGTAAATCAGATAATGTGTTAATCAGATTTCTGTAGCCTACATCTTTTGGATTTATTTACATATAAAAATTTATGTTAGCTTGTTTGCATAAAACCTGACACCAACATAAGTTACACTAATGTCAATATTAGCCGTTTCCTAATAAGGAAACATTTGGCATTCATTAACTGAACAGTTAGCATTACTGTCAGTTGAAGCTTATAAAAATTCTCTTAAGACAGCTTTTCAAGAAATTATACATCATAAGTATACTATTATCACTTTTTCTAGTATTGATAGGAGTTTCCTTCCTAACCTTTTGTTTATGGTAGTATGGAAAGTCAACATCTTGGTTATATCATTTTCCATTCTAATTACTAGTGTTAAGTATTTTAATTGTTGCTACTGCTGTTGGAAGTGTTCAAGTGATGCAGATTTTGTTATTTAGTAAAGCTTTTGTTTGTGATTCTGTAGCATCAGTCTACAAAATCTAATGAAAGATTGTCTTCTTTAAAATCTACAGGATTCATTTGCTTGAAGTCATTTTTAAGAATTAATCTTAGAAAACACTTACATATAAACTTATATTAAAACATTTTTTACGTTTATACGTACTTTTTATAGATACAAATATTTAAGTAAATGCTCTGCTTATTATAAACAGTATTAACAACATTTACCAGCCTGAATGTCAGAGAAATTTTCACAGAAAATATGCATCCTCCGAGAGGGATTGAACCTGTATCCTATACAGAACTGTCATATAGCCTGACGTGCTTTTACTGATTGAGCCACAGAGGAGCATTTCGGTTAGCAAGGTCGATCTTACTGTTTTTAAACTACAATTCTCCATGATTTTCTCATGTACATTCATATCTGCTCGATGCATATCCAAATGTAAACAAATGATGTCACACATTATGAAATGGACAAAGTCCGACAATTATTTTAAGACATTTTTTATGTTTATACGTTCTTTTTATAGATACATTTTTATAGAGCATTTACTTAAATATTTGTATCTATAAAAAAAGTATAAGCATAAAAAAATGTCTTAAAATAATTGTCGGACTTTGTCAATTTCATATAACTTATAGTTTATATATTTCTGAATGAGTCGGATACCATGCATAGCATCCATATGAGAGCCTAGATCTGATGAGGCTATTTAAGAACATGACTTGAATACTTAGGTTAATGCTTTGGTTTCATAGCATCTTGTGGTTTGGGAGAAAATACTCCTAATGCAACCTTTTCCTGTGTTCAATTTCCTTATCACCTCTAGGAAAATTCTGAGTATGTGCCAGAACGACTCATTCTAATTCCAGATCATATTTTGCAAAGGTTTAAGTCCTACTTCTTGAAACACTTGGTAAAGAATGTTTGTTTATTTTTTTCTTCAAGATCATTCTTATACTAACTATGAATGCCTATGTCATCAGCATAGCTCACCTCACCACTTCACTGCTGGTC